AGGGCTTTGGGGGAACCGAGGGCCTCTTACTTTAAATGCCCAAATGTTTACCAGCTGACCTTCCCCTTTACTGTGGTCTGGGAAGCAAGGTGCATACAATAAAGTTCAAACCAATCAACTGCTTTCAGCTGTTCTTGTGCAATGAATGTTTAAACATTTGGTCATTAAGCCCAATATATATGCAGGTCAGTTTTTGAACAGGATGGGAACAGTTTGGGAGCAGGTGCCATGGTGCTGCCTTGTGGAAAGGGGGTAGTTGCGAAGCACAGAGTCTGTTTATATGGCTCCACCCACCAGGTTCAATTCCTCCCAGTGGGTCTGCATCCCAGACACCTTTGTATGTTGCTTCGATGAGCAGGAATACTGGTAGTTATTAACTTTTGTTGTCCTTTTTTTCATTAATTGAATGGCAGCCTGAAGACCATAAAGAGAAGATCCTGGACCAATTCTCTCTTAAAGTGGAACCCCCTGAGGATATTTGAAGACTGGGGTGGGGGTGGGGGAGTGTAGCTGAAAATTGGCCTTGTGTGTTTCCTTGGTGAATGGCACATCGATTTGTTAGTTTCTGAGCAGTCTGTGCTAGATTCTTCAACTTATTTTTGAACATCAATGAGCTGAAAGCTTTCAGTGGTAAAGAATTTAAATCACTTCACCATTCCCTTTGCTACATTCTGGTGGCCATATGTATGGGGGTAGCTTTAATGCTGATATCATGGGGTCAAACACAAGATTGTATTGAAGATGAGAAAATAATAGGACACAGTATCCTGCAAACCAGTGTGAAAGGTTATCTTTGTTAGCTCAGACCAGCAACTCGTTCAAATGATCGCATTCCTCATAAGGGCCTTCTCCCAGCACCAGCACTGAGCTTGTCATCGGCATTGCCCGCCGTGCCCCCAAACTCGGGGGGAGGGGAGCTGCTGGCGTTTGTGTTTGAGATCAGGACATACATACAATCTCATCTAGAAGTGACCCCAAGAAATAAAACTCCCATGCGGCCAGGGATGGTTCCGGTGGTGGAAAACAGCCAACCACAGCTTGCGGATAAAATAAAGAAAAGCAGTGGTGGGGGAAGGCAACGGCCGCTTTCTAGGCACAGCTGCTCAGGGCAGGGCCTTTTGTGTGCGAGGCGCCCGCACAGCAGTGGCAGTTTGGTCTGAGTCGTGTTCAAACAGCCAGTAATCTGAATATATCCAAACTGTAATGGAGCAATGCAGACAGGGAGGGAGCCGGTCTCCCCGTGGCTGTGGTAGGCAAAATCCCATACTCGTCACAAACTAGTAAAGGCATAGGAAATTATTCATAAAAAATGTTTAATGAACACAAATATCATTTTTAGTCTTAAAAGTATTCAACCCTGAAAATTTCCATTAAAAAAAGTAAATGTGTTTTACTAGTACAGGGGTCGGCAAACCAAGGCTCGCGCGCCACGTGCGGCTCTTTGGACCCTTGAGTGTGGCTCTTCCACAAAATACCAACTTCTGTGCATGGGCCATGAAGCTTCAATCGCACTGTACGTGCGCGCCCGCACGTGGTATTTTGTGGAAGAGCCACACTCAAGGGGCCAAAGAGCCGCATGTGGTGCGCGAACCGGTTTGCCGACCACTGTACTAGGGGAAAGTCATTACTGATTGATATCTTTGTAGAAAAACTTGGGGAGGGAGGTCGGAGATCTGAGATGGGTTTTTTATATTTTAAATAACCACTATCTAAAAGTTGTTAAAGTGTTGATAGTGTGCGTAGACATGTGCATGGACTCGAATATCAAAGTTTTCCCTCTAAAATGAAGGAGAACGGTAAACCAGCAGCCTTATGAGAAAATGCTTCAAATACAAGATTAATTTTGAAGTTCTCATTTGAGAAGACAAATCATGTAAAAAGTCCATCTGCAAAAGCAGTGAGGAGTCTCTTAGAACTTAAATGTGTGTGTGTGTGTGTGTGTGTGTGTGTGTGTGTGTGTGTGGAGAGGGAGATTCCTCTGACCAAGGAGGGGCGTTTCAGGCCGCAGCCCTGCATTGTAAGGCGTGAAGCTGCATCGCTGCCCCACTCAGGGAGGAGGCGGCTGCAGAGAGGCGAATGGGAAGGGGGATTCTCGAGAAGAGGCAGCGGGATGAGCAGGGCGTTTGCAAAGCCTTTGCTGGGACTTCATAGACACAAGGAGATAAGCGGAGAAAGCTCAGCAGGCCAGCCCGCCTCGCCCCATAATAAAACCATTTTCCTCAGTGTCTATGTTTCTGACAGCATTTCAATAAGGAAATATGACTCACTTTAGTAGTTGTTGCCTGATAAATGCCTTTCAAAATCGACGTACATGGCTTTTAAAAGTCCTTTCGCCACGCAGCCAGGAACGTTCCTTTTAATGTGTCACGAAAGCGACGATGCTTGTGCTCCCTCGGCTGGCTTCTCTGCAGCAGCTCACTCCTAGACCCGCTCCTGGGGGGCCTGCAGGATGGTGCCCGGCAGCGGGGCCGGGAGCCTGGTGTCCCCCGCTGGAGTTTATGTTCCTGTTAAATATGAATTCTAATCTCGTTTCCTACGAACAATGCAGAAAGCAGAAGCTACTGGCAATGGAGCAGAGCCATTCACCGCTGATGAGGAATATGCATGCCCCTGAAATATCAGGTCAGATTTTAAAAATATATAAAAACCAGTTATTCTAACCGTTGGAGTTGGCAAGGAAGTATATTCACGCAATAATAGATTTTCTTTACATTCTCTTAATTGGTTTCGTGCCGTAAGAGCTGGGGGCGTAAGAGGACAGCGAGCCCCCAAATGAGAAAGAGTGATTTCCACAGCCTGGTCAGGGTCACAGACAGGAAAACCTGGGACTTCACCCAATTTAGTTTCTTATTTTAAAAAGTAAGTTTGGGACAAAAATTAACCTATGTACTTGATCACTGCCCACCCCCCTCCGCCTGGCCAGGCTCCCGAGGCCGTGGGTCCGGGACCTGCTGGGAGTGCAGCGCTGGCCTCCGGGATGCTGTGCAGCGCTAGCCCAGTAGTTGTGTGTTAGGCTCCTCACAGCATTTACTCTGAGGACCTCCCATCCCATGGGCACAGCACTCAGGCTCATGTGTTTGTGGTTTACATGATGCCATCAGCTATCTTGCAAACCGAATTTTCCTTTGTAGATATCTTCTCACTGTTTGACAAGTGGGCTCTTCTGAAACGCTGGTGGGGAATAGCCGTGGCCACTGCTGACTGAGCACCTGTCATGTGCTGAGCACCCTGTGCACCGCCTCATTTCTCCAGAACGATCCTCTGAGGGGGCCAGGGGCGTTCTCATCAGCGCCTTGTGGCAGAAAGGAGGCACCCGACACCGTGCCCGAGTCACAGTCTGAGGAGAAGTGGAGCCCGGCTTGAGACCCAGCAAGGTGAGGCCAACTTCCTGCTCAGAGAACAGTGGTTCTCCAGCTTCAGTGTCACAGGAACCCCTGAGGATGCTGTTCAAGTGCTCCCCCTGTGCCAGCAGGTGTCGGCAGGACCGGAGATAGGGCATTCCTAATGAGCTCCCAGGGGCGCTGATGCTGGTGGCCCTTCTAGAGTACATTGAATAACCAGATCAAAGCCATTGCTTCTCAAACTTCAGCAACTTCAGAATAACCTGGAGGGCTTGTTCAAACACGAATTGCTGAGCCCCATGCCCTCGTATTTCTGATTCAACAGATCTGGAGTGGAATGTGCTAATTTGCATTCTGAACAGTTCCCAGAAGATATTGGTGCTGCTGGCCTGGGTACCTCACTTGGGGTCCCACTGTCATAGTATGTGGACACAATAGCCCCAGGTGATTGCTGTAATCAGGTGAATTTCCTAAGCAATACCATTGTAGAATATACATGCAGCATGTTCCTGTGCAGCATTCTATAGTACAGCTGTGGCATAATAGGTTATAGGTTATATATTAGTGAGAGTGTTTATATAATAGTATAATAGGTTATACTTTATTACCAAAGACAATGATACTTCATATTATACAAAACTTATACTGCTATAGAGAACCTATGTAATTTTAAATGATTTCTGTTCGATGACTTTTGCTGGGAATTTCTTTGAACTTGTGCAAGCTTCCCAGAGCAGGGCCTGATCTGCCAGTTGGCATGCTTTTATTATTTTATTTTACTTCGGTATTTGTTTCTCAAAAAGCTGACTGTAGAGAAAACATCTACTTAACTCTGCTTTCTGCTGAATTTCACTCTGGCAGCTGTGATGAGGCCTGGGAGCTCTGTGTGTTTGCCACGTTGTCCAAGCTAGAAATCCTAACAGAACCCAAGTCCGAAAACCGTTTGCTAAGATTCCACTGAGGCAAGAAGTCGTGAGAGGCTCACCTGAGTACCACGGCCGCTGACCTCTCCACTCAGGGTAGCTGCGGTTTGAGAGCTTCCTGTCCTCCTCCGCACATCCAGCTCTGTGCTACGCACTGCTTCTCCTGGAATGCACCTCCCTTTAGACATGCAGGGACCAAACTTGACTGCAGCAGGGCCGCAGGAGATGGGGACAGATTGAATGTTCCTTCCAGAAGTAATTTAGATGTCTATTCACTATGCAAAGAAAACTGGGAAGAAAGCCCCCGTCCACATCCATGAGACAAGACTTATTTGTATCGACTAGAAAGTTGGACACTTTGGAATGCACTGTGCACTCCTGACTTTCAGTAAATGCTCTTTGACCTTGAACAACACGGGCTTGAACTGTGCGGGTCCACTTACAGGTGGAGTTTTTCAATAAATATAGTATGTTCCCTTCCTTATGATTTTCTTACTAGCACTTTCCTTTGCCTAGCTATTGTAGTAATATATAGAAATGTTTAAAAATGCCTAAAAAATATTAAGGTTTTAAAATGTTTAAATTAACTTTCTCTGAAACTTAAAGCGTGACATTAAGAACACAGTCCCCACTGCCCTGAAGCATGTGCACCTCATAGATAAGGATTTGAACTTCAGTAAAAAACTCAGAGTGACTTGTCAAAGTAACCACTTGAGTGAGTGATGTACTCTCCCTCGATAACCACATGTAGTCCCTCGCCCTGTTTGAGATAAACGTGTGCATTGATGTAATTCATTGATAGCCACCTGGGCGGCTGCAAATGGGTACAGGCTTTAAAAGTGGGATTCAAACCAGCCCAGTGCTCACCTGTCGAGACAGCCACAAAGGCACGTCCTCTTGTCAGTCTGGCAAGTGACACCGTTCCACACTCCTCTCTCTGCCAGATGACAGAAGAATGGCCAGTACCTCCCGATTGAGACGGCCGAGCTCTGGGGTGAGGAATGCCGGCCCCCTGCGTCCGGACCAGCCCAGCCCAGCTGCCAGACCCCAGAGGACAGCACCACCGGGATCCCAGTTAAGCCTGTACCCTCAGCAGCAGGAATTGTGTGAGTAATAAAGTGCGGTGTGATTTGCAACTGCATATGTTTCATATGGTGTAATCCCTCTGGCAGTTAATTGAATTATTTTGCGGACGCTTAAAAGTTAAATCAAAGCTTCTGGTCTTTTTTGGTCCTAAGCCTGCCCCTTGGTCCTGCTTGTGTAGAGTAGCCTCTTCGCTAGCTACTACTTGAATGTCCCACACCAGCACAGTTAAAGTTTATCTCAAGGGATGCCTTAGATAAACACCCCAGGTCCTTTCCCAGGATCTACTTGGGACAGTAGCTTACTTTATTGCAAGAATACAGTATATAATACATAGACTGTTTATGTTATCAGTAAGTCTTCCAGTCAACAGTTAAAACAACTATTCATAGTTAAGTTTTGGGGTAGTCAAAGTTATATGAGGATTTTTGACTGTGCATGGGGGCTGGCACCCCTAACACCTTGTTGTTCAATGGTCAACTATATTTTAAATATACAATAAGTATGTAGAGTAACAGGACAAACACAAGGACATGTGCCACCTGGGTCAGGCGATGAGACGTCATCAATCAGTTGAAATCCTCAGTGTCTGTTCCCTAGATCACTTCTTCCTCCCTCCTTGATAAACACTCTCACTCCAAATTGGTGTTGATTGTTGTATATATGTTTGAATAGGTAAGGGATAAACAATACCATTTTAGAGGTTTTTGAACTTTGCATCAGTGATTATCATACTTTATGTATTCTCCCGCAATTTGTTTTTATCACACAATACACTTTAATGTTAAGTATGGCCATAGCTCATTTATTTTCATGCTCTATTATATTGTACTAGTTGCCTGGTGCATGAAATTCATGCACATTAAAAGGGAATTAATTAGAGGAAATATTTTAATATTGCTATTTGCTCTTTCTCTATAATAAAAGTGTCAAGAGATGAAAGAAAATTAGTAGCATGTATATGAAAATCTCCCTCTTGTCAGAATCTGGGGCGCACCAAGGGACCCAGAGTCAAGTCCCTGCCCACCCGCGTACACCTCGAAATCGCGTGAGACTCCGTCCCAGCTGGCCCCACCCCCGTCAAGCCCCACAGGGTGCAGCCTCAGGTCCCCCAGCCAGTTGCGAGGGAGTGAGGGCTGACAACAATTTGCATATTAGCTCTTTATTATGTAGGATGATATGACTATACCAAGATTCATAAACCCATTCTATAGTTGACGGACATTCATATTGTTTTCATTAAAAGCTTTTGTAACAAGGTTACAGCGAATATTCTTCAAACTTCGAATGCTAATCTATAACGCTTTTCTTGGTCCAGTATCACCTTTGGGAGACGCTGGCCCACACTGCTGGCCACTTGCACATGTCAGCCCTGCAAAGGCTGCAGTTTGAGCTGAGATGTCCTGTGAGTGTAAAGTACATGTCATGTTTCAGACACAGTATGAAATAAAGAATGTAAACTGTCTCAATAAATCTTTAGCTCAATTACATGTTGGGATGATATTTTCAATATACTAGATTAAATAAAATGTAATAAAATTAACCATATCCATTTCTTTTTATCTTCTTCCATGTGGCGGGAAAGTGTGACCTGCATTTGTGGCTCACATTTTGATTTTTGGGGAGTGCTGGCCCAAATGACCTCCGAAGTGGTGATACCAAACTCACCCCAACAGCACTGCTTCTGAACTCCCTGAGATTCTTGCTAACATGTGGTATTGCTACCCTCTCATTTTTGTCATTTTAGCTGTGAAATAATATCTATTTGTGATTTTGCATTTAATTTATAATTTATGAGGTTAAGAATCATACATATTTATTGTCTATTTTGGTTTCTTTCTCCATGAATACCTCTTGACCATTTTTCTATTGGGCTACTTGTTACTTTCTTATTGATATGTAGAAGTTGTTTATATTCTCCCAGAGTATGTCTTAAAAACATTTTTTCATGATCTCCTTTGCTATATAGAAATGTTTAATTTCATGTGTCCATTTATTGACTTTGAGAACTTGATCTTCTTAGTAAATACATTTTGAAATGTTTTAACAGGTTTGGGGATGTTTTTGTTTTAATAACTGCTTTATCCCAGCACCTAGAACAGGCCTGGGATAAATAGGCACTCAGCAAATATTTGTAGAATCAGTTGTATCACCTCTCTGGGGCTTTCTGGCATCTGTGTTATGCCTTTGTCATCAGCTTCCTTGTACAGGATCTAGAATCTCTCCTGCTTAGTTTAGTGGAGCTTGCTTTCTTGCCCTCCCAGGCTCATTTGTTTCACATTTCTCACTCTCCTGGCAGTATGTACTTACATAGGTTTCTCAAAGTGTATTGCTTGCAAAAGCGCTTCCAGAAGATGTTAAAATGGAATGTGAAAAATAGATTATCCTAGACAAATGGGGTTTGGGAACTAGGCTGGCCCGTTTGGGGTATGACAGGACTTCTGGAGACGTGGGTGTTCTATGCCTGTGGGCAGTCTGTGGGTGCAGGGCAAAGCATCGCCCAAACCCATGGGCGTGCTTAGGAAATGGTAACAGTTGTGCAACTACTGTATAAAGAATGCACTTTAAAAAACACCCATGAACGGGCCTATTGAAGGACTGGGTTAAAAACTCTAAGACTGATGGCACACAAAGCAAAATGTTGAATGTGGTCAATAATTAGGAAAAATTAAGTTTTGAAATTTATACACATTTAACTCAGCTGAATTTTTCACTGTAAGTTGTTTTCTTGAGATTTTTAAATCAGCTCACTTTCACAACGTCTGGGTGGGCACGCCAACGCAGCAGGGCTGTCCTGTAAGCTAATGTGGTTAATAGAGCGTACTGAGAGTCAGCTTTCCTTCCCAAGTTAGTGAGGGCAGTTCTGAAACAAAGGCTTTCTCATATGAAAGATATTTCTGTGCACTTGGAGATTTCTCTTGTGTCCACAACTTAGGAGAGGAATATATTCTCAGTCCTTTCTTTTGTATTTGTTTCTCTTTTATTCTAAATATAGTATTCCCATTAAGAAAACATGTTCCACCAGTGCTGTGAGCACTGGGACATAGTGTAGGATAGGCAGACATGTATGTGCAGTATATTCTTGCATACAGTCAGAAGAAAGTGTTATATCTATAAAACTCTTATTTGTTTCTGGTTTAAGGCTGCTAGCACTTTTGATTTGGAGGGACTAGAGATGATGATCAAAACCTGATCCACAAGACAAGAAGAGGGCTAGTTGCCAATATTTATGAAAATTAAAAATGGGCACTCCCTTTGGCCCAATAATTCCATCTTTTGGTATCTACCCTAGAGGAAAAAGAAATCACTGATGTGCATTATGGTACATATTCAGAAATATTCACTGAAATAGTATTTTTAATAGCAAAAAAGAAAAAAAAACCGTAAAAATTATGGACTATTTAAATGTTCTTTACTAGGGAACTACTTTTAAAACTTGAAAATATAGAGTAGTTTAAAAGAGAATTATAACTGTATCTTATGATATGGAAAGATCTCCAAGATGTATTTTGAGTGGAAAAAGTGGTAAAGCAGAGCATACAAAACGATTCTATTTGTTTTAAAAACACAAAACGTACATGTTTCTGCAGACTTATATGATCTAAATGTAGTAACTAGATTCAGCATGAAAAAACAGTAACTATGTGTGGAAACGGACCTGAATTGGAAAAAATCATTAGGGATGTACAAAATTAATTTCTTGTATTGCTTATGTAACTACATATTAATGAAAAACATTAAAGAAAAGTACTTATTTAAATTTCTCTTTAACCTTTTACATTTAACTGTACCACATCTCAAATTTTGCAAAAACAACCCAGGTCACTGGCCTTTGCTGCCTGAAGAAGGCACCTCTGATAAGGTTCAGCTGAGCTCTGGAACACACGTCTCCTGTTACTCTGAGGCCTGCTTCCTGAAGACCAAGGGCAGGAGTGAGGGAGGAGTCGAGTGAGAGAGCAGGCGCACATTTAGAAGATTCTCCACTTGACAATTTCCCCAGGACAGGACATGTAGAGACATATGTGCCAGTAGCAAAGCCCGTTTCAGCTGTTAGAAACCGAGGAACAAAGGCAGCCCTGGGCGCAATGCCTTTGAAGACGAGCCGTGTTGTCCATGGTTGACATTCTTCCTCGGAAAGGAATGGGCAAATATGTATGCAGTGGCTGCGTCCCAAACTGGGCACGAGATTGAAAACATGCCAAAGCAAAGGCCCGAGACGCATGCCAACGCCTGATGTCTTGGGCTGTGGAAGCAGGTAGAGGGGCCTGCTCAGTTGGAACCTGCAGTTGGGTATTAGGAGAGCAGAGAGGCGTGGTGCGGGAATTGATGAACCTATTTGAACATCATAAGTTTGAAATTTCCAGACGAAATTGAGCCTCGTACGGTTCCATTTATCACACTTCCATTTCAGGCTGGCTGAGTGTGAGTGACAGCCTGCTCACCCTCACCCCCAGGCCACCTGAAGGAACGGTGGGGTGGCGAGGAGCTGGTCCTGCCCGGAGCAGATGGGGAGAAGGGACGGAGCAGCAGGGCGTCTGGGATGCGGGGCTGTGGTGGTGGCTCCCGCAGGTGCCGCTAGCAGAGGGGAGCAAGGCCTGCGAATGAGGATGCATAGACCGGCCGCAGGGGCTCCTGCAGAGGACGGAGCAGGAGGACAGGGTGGAAAGCAGCCCGCTGTCCAAGTAGAGCCCTGGAAACAGCCAGAAAACCCAGCACAACAAAGCAGCACAGGAAGGCACCGCCTCCAGGCAGAAATCTCTGTTGCATTTTTATTGCTGGGAGAGAACTGTCAGAGGACGGAATTATTTCAGCAGGTAAACCTGTGGCTACCTGCCTTCCTGTGGCCAGGATGTTTGCTTGGCTGCCTCTCAGCTCTGACTTCCTCAGAGTTGAAGATGGAGCTAGCCACTCCCACCGGACGTGGGGAAATCTTCCCTGGACACAGATGTCCCTGTGGGCTTCACTGGCGGGAGGGTGTGGGGGGGTGCGGGGAGGGCAGAGTGTAGCAATTGCAGCGCTTTCCTCTGGTTTCACCTCAGGCTCCTTGATCTCTCTCCCCTTGAGTTTCTGCTAAACACACTAAAATAGTTAGTGTGTTTTTCTTGAACTTTCAACCCCTTCCCAATGTTACCTCTGGGGAAAATGGATCATGGACTCCTAGAAATGTGAAGTTGGCTGGGTTAACCCAAGGCACATTTTTAAAGGGGGCCACTTAAGACACATCAGTAGTACTAGCTATTGTGAAATCACAGTTAGCGGAATTTTGTTTTTTAAAACAGACCATCAATAAGTCTTTGTTTTTCACGAAAACAAAGAGCTGATTTTGCAAACGAAGGAGGTCATTTATTGCCAAAATGGAAGTGTTTTGCAGATAAACAATATGACACTTTACCTGAGAAAATTAGCTGAGTTAATGACAGTGGGTTCTGTTTATATCTACCCTGCCTATTTACTGGTGGGAAAAAATTTGCACTTGAAATAAAATGTAATGCTTTCTCCTCACAGACTCACAGAAGTATCAGTCATTTTGTGAAATGAAAATTGATAGTTTGATAAGCAATTAACATGTGCTTCTTTCAGATAGAGCCAAATGTTTCATTAGATTTTTAGATAATGGTGTTTCAAGCCTTTCATTCAAGCGCACACGCAGCGCATTAGAAATAGCCCCGCGCAGCTATTTCTGAGACCACAAAGGAAGAGCATCTCTCTCCAGGAAAGGCCAGCGGCGGGACTGGTCCACAGGAGCTTCTGCACCAACTCCCCAGGCCAGAGGCAACAGCCTGTCCCCTGCCACCGGCGGTCTGAGTGGTACCTGCGGGGCCAGGTGCTCACCGGGAGCTGGACGTTGTTTTCAGATGCATCGGAGAGAATGCCTGCCACCAAGAAAGTGAGAAGAGCGACTGATTCAAGAGTGCAATTGATTTGACAATAACAATCTGAGCCGCACTGTAAGCTGGTGGCAGCCCGCTGTTCTCCGAAATTCAGAGGACAAATAGATGCTCCTTTGGAACTGAGTGTGCTGATCCAGCACTTCCCTTGGCTCCCTACCAAGACCATAAACATCTGTGCTTTAAAAATGTAAGAGATGCCCGTGCCTTACACTTGACTTGGGATCCACTGGAATATGTGTGTTGGAAATCTCTCTCTCAATTACAGAACTTCTTCCAACACAAAATATCTCGCAGGTTAAATGAGAAGTAACACCACTCCAGAGAAAAGCATTGGCTGTCTCCCAGATTAATATGGGTTATGGTCCATGATTGGGTTCGATGAGGTAACAATTTCCCACCACTCTTCCAGATAGACAGGAAATTGTTGTGCTTGAAATAGATTTGGGCTGAGTAACTAATTAAAATAATTTGGATCAAGAAATGTGACATGAAATGTGATGTAGATATTTCCAGTTCTTATTCAGGAAACCTTATTGCTAAAAGGTTGAAAGATAATTGAGAAAATAATTTATATGGTGGTGAGAGTTATTTGTGTGAAGTAAAAATACAGAGTCCTTTTCACTGAGATGGAGAAGCTGCCAAATAGCTCTTCGTGATAATTCTATGCACAAAATGTTCATAGTGGGCTTCAGTACCTTGCCAGATGAAAGCTTTTGCTCAGTTTAAAGTTGGAAAAGAGATTTGAGTCTCCACCAAGGATAATGTGTTAAGCTTGGTAATTAAAGACTGTTTTTCATAAATAATGCCAAAAGCACATTGGGAACATTGGGCTCATATATTCCTATACTTTAAAGAAATCAAGGACCTAATAACATTTTGATAGCATCACACACACACACACACACACACACTCATACCCATTAACATCAGGGCATGAAATGAGATTACATAATTTTTCTAATAAAGCATTTTAAGTGATATAAAAGGAAACTATGCCTATGGTGACTAAATAATGACAGGTTTTTAAAATACAATAAAAACTTTCAATTACAGTGCTACTCAAAGTGTAACCCATGACAAGCCCACAAGAAAATAAATATATAAATTGAAACTAAGCAATTAGAGAAGTTGCAGCAATAAGACAATGACTGTTAAATGTCATAATTTAAAAAATGGATTTCTAGTTATTTTTTAAATTTTCTACTTAATATTAATTATATTTTACAAATGTATCGTCCACAAGGTTAAACACATTCTTCTCCTTCACAGATGAGAAGCACTTACAGTAACTATACTTTTAAGAATCTCAATGCTATTAAATTCACATTATTTTTTCTTTTATTTTAGCTGAACACAGACTTAAAAAAGAACCCACAACTTTAAATACATTCTACAATGCTTTACAGAAGCAAACTAAAACAACAAAGCCATAACATCACAATGATTAAAAAGCTGGTTTTTGTTTAAAACACCCAGCATGGACTGAACACACGAATGTTCCTAACCTGCCAACTGATTTCCCCAGATTATATCAGGTAAACCCATTGGTGGGCCAGTGGACAGGGAGGGTTGACCTGCCAGGGGCTGGAGTGGCCATTGCCACGCCCACTCCGGAGCCCTGGGGCCTGCGAAGGTGTCCGAGACCCCACTCGCCCCCACAACCTCCCCATGGGCCTGAAAGAGCCGGGGACTTGGTGGTGCTGGTCCCGGTGCTGGAGGACGATCTAACCTTACCTTTGTGTTTAATAGGTGCGTGCTGTAATATCTGCTTCATGAGAAGACCAGGCGCTTCCATGGGGACTCCTGAAAGCCCTGCCAACAGGAGAGAGGCCAGCTGCCACTGGGGGCAGGTCGGGCTGGGACAGAGAACTGGAGAGCGTCTGGCCCATGGACATGCCCTGCAGAGCTGAGCAGAGAACTGAGATGGAAGAAAACACCCAAGATTATGCTGTGGGAACAAAGGAGAGCTTCTAACCCACAAATATGTCCCTATCGATCTGCACAGGCTCTGACTTCACACAGAGCTTCACTTTACATAAGAAATAGAACCTGAAGTCAGTGTATGTGACATATTGTGAAAAATCCTCTATTATAAAAAGGCCATGGTCACGCCCTCACACCATAATGACTGGTCACCAGGAGGCTGCCTCGCAAGGAACATGTGAGTGAGCGGGAACTTGATGCTGAGTCCCTGAGGGCGCTGGCGGGGCCTTGACACTGAGTTCCCACGGGTGCCGGCGATTTCGAGGTGCGTGCAGGTGGGTGGGGCTGCATTCGAGGCGAGGCGCGTACGGGTGAGGGGGGACTTGACTCTGGGTCTTGTGGCACTGGTGGGACTTGGTGCTGTGTCCCCGCGGGCACCAGCCCAGACTATGACAGGAGGGAGGAGGGAGCCGGATACCTGCAATATTAAAATATTTCCTCTAATTAATTCCCCTTTAATGTGCACAAATTTCATGCACCGGGCCACTAGTATAAGTAATAAAACACTAAGTCACACTCACTGTGGGGAAGTGAATATCCTATTTAAAAAAAAAAAACACCCACAAATGGAACAACAGATTCATGTTTCTCATCTAATGTTCGTCTAGGATAGAAGCATATTGAGTGGCTGGTGAGCAAATTAGTGACATTTTAAAAATTGTTAGTTTCGTTCATACTTTCTTTTACTCTTGGGGCTCTTCCTCTCCTGATGATTCCAGTGTAAAAGAATCAAATGGGTTGAATGTATGGGTGTGGAAGCTAAAGCACTGACGTGCGTGTTAATGGAAGCAACGGGGAGAAAGGTCTTCCTGCGGCCACCTGGGCCTGCTGAGGGTGATTAAGGCGATTGTTCAGGAGGGCAATGTCTACAGTGGCTTGTTAATTAGAAGAACCCATTTAATTAATTTTTAATTAAAATTTTAGCAACGGAAAAACTTGCACTCATACAGGAAACGGATAATTATTTTAACATTTGGTGGCCTTTCATTAAATATTCTGAAAAATATAAACTCTGTAGATGCCAAATTTTGCAACATGATCTTCTTCAGTCTGTCACTACACAGAAGTAAGCAGCTGAATGGAAAGAAAGACAAGTTTCTCTGCTTAGGAGAAAGATGGCTTTTGTTTATCTGCCCACCATGCTTTTCCACTCATTGCTATTTTAGAAAGATTCCACTTATAAAAGGTTTACTTGCTATAATCTTAAACCAGACTTATTAATAGATGCCCATTTTTAAGAAAAGGATAAAAAATAAACCAAATAAAGTAAAAACACAATGTAGTTAGGTATAATACATGTTTATATTTATCAAAAAGTAATACCTTCTATACCATAGATTAAAATTTTATCAGGTATGTTTCTGCATAGAAACTCAGTGGTTATTTTTGATTTTTCCCCTCTAACAGAGGATTAAAACAGAAAAATTATTACTGAATGGGAAACCCAATAAAAAGCCCTATTATTGGAAAGAAAAGGAGGATTCTGCATTCACTTCTAGTTAAAGCTAGAACATGGAAGATGAAGGCTGTGACCATCAACTAGAGAGAGACTGGCTGCTGATGCTGGGAACTCAGGTTGGTCTGACCATGTCCCTCACGTAGTTGGAGCTCCGGCCAGAAGTGTCCTGTGTCTGAGCCACTGCTGAAGATGGTGCTTTGCTGCAGGACCGCTGGGGTGGGAGGAAGGGCCAGTGGGAGGCACTGTTACGCTAATGCCATGCCTTGTCCCTCACCTGTTGCCCCTGTTAACCCTTTGAGTGCCAACCAATATCCTAGGAACTATGCTAAAATTGCCAAGGCATTTTTTCTGATTTTACAACAGTTTAGGAAAAAAATTATGAATCCCAAGTAAATGAAGATACATATTCAAAAACTTAAGGAAACCTTTACTACATTGACATATTTAGCAATATCATCATCACTAATAAAAGCAGATTTAGAACTGGACACCATTTCTAAGCTTTGATAGCGCTCCCGGCACTTTTGGCGAAAGACAGGAGGAGCGGGATCGCGCTCCCCGGCACTCTAGGGGTTAAGGTGAGAGGGCTGAGCAACACCCATGCTTCCCAGCAAGCAGGATGCAGTTCCCACCTGGGAGTGAAGCCTTGTGGCGGGCCTGGGCTCAATAAACTTGAGTCTCAACATGAAAACGATGGCCCTGCCAGGTATCTGACCCAAATCTTCTCGAGTCAAAAAGAACATCTTTGTTTAGTGCTACAATGACTCAGCTTGCTATTTGAGAGGAAACCTAAGCCTTCGCCTTCTGACAGGCAATGATAAGAATGTAGTGCCACTTGGTACTATTATTATACTTAAAATCCGTTTTTCTCAAAATATTAATATTTATTGCATGCAATATTATATTTAAGATCATCTTTCTTGAATAATTGGTGTTTGATCCATGTAACATATTTAAAATCATTTTTCTTGAGATATTAATGTTCATTGCATGTAATAGTATATTTAAGGTAGTTTTTCTTAAAATATTAATGTTTATTGCATGTAACATTATTATATTTAAAATTGTTTTTCTTGAAATAAAAAATAAATTAAAAAGAAGAATGTAGTGCCATATTTATTTTTTTTATCATATTTACTTTTAAGATCCCTTCTATTTATGGCAGTTGATACCAATTTTATATTACAACTAGAGGCCTGGTGCAGGAATTCGTGCACTGGTGGGCTCCAGCCAGTGCGAGGGGCTGTGGTCATTCTGGTCGTTCTGCTGTTTGGTCCCTGGGCTTTTATTATATAGGACTAGAGGCCCGGTGCACCGGTGTGGTCCCTTGACCTAGCCTGTGGGGATTGGGCCGAAACCAGCTCTCTGACATCCCCTGAGGGGTCCTGGATTTCGAGAGGGTGGTTCTCAGGTGACACACCCCAGAATCGGGCTCCCTCCTCTCTGGTTCCAGGTGGGTCACCTGAGAGCCACAGCTGCCAAATCACCACAGCTCGGCAGCTCCTGTGTTGAGCATCTGCCCCTTGATGGTCAGTGTGCATCATAGCTACCAGTCAGCTGGTTGAACAGTCGGCCAGTCGGCCGGTTGCTTAGGCTTTTATATATGTAGATAATGCTAGAAAGGTTACCTTTTAAAGCTCCACTTTAATACAATTGCTGAGGAAGGCAGTCCCAGGGGGGCAGTCTCTGCACCCACCCACCCAGCAGGAAGGGCCGAGGGCCTGGAAGTTGCCCTAACCAAGAAGTCTAGAGTCCTCTCTGCCCGTGCTGGATTTACAGCCTGGGTGGGAACATCCTTACCTGCTGTGGACTCAGTGTGGGTCCTTTGTTCTGCCTAACTGTGCATCCATGCTGCCTGTCTCCTGCCAGGAGGGCCGGGCTCCTATGTCCAGTGACAGAAGATGGTTGGCATGCAGGCCAGGGGCCCTGTGTTGGTTGCTTGGAGGGTCTTGCTGGCCCTGGGGAACCAATGCCGGTGACTGTAACTGTTCTTGCTCTGCCTCTTCTCATTGTTCCATCCAGTGCTTACCTGTGTTGTGTCTTCCTTGCTGACTCTGATACCAATGTTACTGCAGGGGGTCTGGGCCCGGAGCGGGGCTGCCTCAGGCCGGCCTGCGGTGTGTGGGTTATTGACTTCATGCAGGAAGGATTTCACAGGTGAGTCCAGGTGGGTTTGAGAGGACGTTTATGACAGCTGGGACAGTGAAACACAGGAAAGGCCTAGGGTAGAAGTGGCAACAGGAGACACATTATAGGAAAGAAGTGGGCAACACTGGGCTGTGCGAAGTCACTGGGAAGTGAGGGTCACAGTGACAAGTGAGCGTGGGCAGGGCTGCTGTTAGCTCACTGCAAAGTCAGAGAGAATGAGGCCTTGGTGACAGGTTCAGGGGTCAGCCTGGCATGAGCTGTGGCTGCCCGTTGCTCCCCTGGTTGCAAGTCTTGTGGGACCTTTAGCGCTGAGGAGAAAAAGGGCAGAGGCACAGGGCATGGCATGCTCTCGTGAGAGCACAAGTGCTGGTCCTGTGTCTTGAGGCTTTTTATTTTTCTTTAGCTGCTGGGAATCCTAGGGGAGTCTCAGGGAGGGCCTGAACGAATAGTCATTCGCTTTTCAGGTGTGTTCTTCGATATGCTGGTTCACCAGAATGTGCATGTGGTGGGGTCAGTGGTTATTTTCTGGTTAGTTTTCTTTTCATAGAACACCCTCCAAGAGGGACCAGTCGAGGCCAGTCTGCGCCGGGCTGGTCTGGAATGTGTCGACCATCTGCTCCTAAGTGCCCTTGGTTAGGGAAGATAAAACCTTGTGATTCATTACCTGGCTGCAAATTGCTCAAGTCATTTGTCCTTTTTTAATTATTTTGTCTCAGTTTCCCTATTCCACTGGCCAAGGAATTTTCCTGGCTTCTTACTCTCCCGCCTCACCAAGATGCAGTGGGGAGAAGTGCTCAGACTTCTAGATGGGAGACATAGCATCTGCCCACAGAAATGAGTGATTTAAAGAAAAACAAAGTAAACGAATGCAGGTAATTGTGCAAAAATTTTAACTTCGGCTGCAAAAGAGTAATATTTGGCAAAGGCCAAACCGATCTGATACCCTCCATTTCCACGGGGAAGAGCTAATTTCCTCTGGTGACGATCTCAGCATTTAGAGTCACATGTATTCTGATGGCTCTATTTTTCCAGTCCTTGTGTGGTTGTTGCTTTGCAGGGATCAGACAGTTAGAAAGCAACTCAGAGATTTCAGAGGGAAAGGAGACACATGCACATACATGCCTACACGGACTCATGCAAACAGCTCTCTCCATGGCACCGCTCCGTGTGCTACCAAAGAAGGTCTGTAGACTCCTCGCCCTTTACTTATTGTTTTGATTGTGATAAAGTATAAGTAACTCAAAATTTGCAATTTTAACCATTTTTAAATGTACGATTCAATGGATTAAGTAATTCACAATGTAGTGCATCCATTTCCAGAACTTTTCATCATCCCAAACAGTAGCTCAGTTCCCATTAAGCAATAACTTCCTGCTGCCACCGCGGCAACCTCTATTCTACTTCCTGTCTCTGAATGTGCCTATTCTAAATACCCCGTAAAAGAGGAATCATGTCTGGCTTGTGTCACTTAGTGTGTGTCCAAGGTTCATCTATGTTGTGAGGCATATCGGGATTTTATTCCTTTTTGTGTCCAAGTAACCTCCTGTGCTATAGATACACCACATTGCATATCCATGTCTCTCTTGATGAGCACTGGGGTTGTTTCTGCCTTTTGGCTCTTAGGAAGAATGCTGCTGTGAACATTGCCCCTCCTATTGTACCCAGGCAACGTGTTCTTTCCTGTTTCTTTTAAAGATCGCCCTTGCGGATGGTATTATTTTCCTCCTGCTGCTATAAAAAAATCACCACAAACTTGGTGGCTTAAAGCAACAGCTTTATCACCGTACGCCTAGGTTTGCAATCAGCTTCCCTAGGCTTCCCGTCAAGGTGAGAGGGCGGGCTCCTCTGCGAGCTCTGGAAGAGGGTCGCTCCTGCATGCTTCTGCTTCTGGAAGCTGCTGGCATTTCTTGGCCCGTTGTCTCTTCCCTGATCTTCTAAGCGATCACTCCAACCTCTGACCCTCCTGGCTGCCTCTCACAGGTGTAAGGCAGGGCCCTCAGGATTATACAGAATAATCTCACCATCTCAAGACCCTTAACTTAATCCATCTGCAAAACCTCTTTTACAAGAAAAGCAACATATTCACAGGTGCCAGGGATTAGGACATGGACATCCTGGGAGGGGGGGCGGGCATTATTCAGCCTACCATGATTATTTTGACCCCTGGCAAATGGTAGGTTGGATCCAGGAGCTGGCTCCACCATATTCTCCCATTGCTTCTTTGGGGTGAACCTAGCATACCATTTCCACCCAGGGGTGGTCCCCTGCATGAGCCACGTGATTTCAGAGTCCTGCTGGGTGGGATGCAGAGAACAGTCACACTTGAGCAGAGACGGTGGAAAACCAACTGTCTCAGTCACTGAAGGGATGGGGAATGAGAATAATGGATCAAATATGTCTTTGGTGCATACAGGGGGCTTGGCATATGCTACTTCATTCATCTGTACAACAGGATCCCAGGTCGCAGAGCAAGTGTGTAGCTGAGCTAGAGATTCCAATACAAGATATCTGACTCTGTTGGGCTTTTCTGTGGCTCCATTATGACTGAATTCATAGGACTTTAACTGGTATCAGCAAGAGGTTAGTAGGTTCCATTCAGCACAGCTCCCAGATGTAGCTCAACAGAGGCACAGTCAGGGATCAGCAGTGATTACGGCTGGTTGAAACTTTAAACTGACCAATCCTATATAATAAAGAGGTACTATGCAAATTAACCTCCACACCCTCACAAGATGGCTGCCTAGGAGGTGGAGCTTTTGACGCTGACTGGCATAGAAACCAACCAATCAGAACCTAATCTGGGTGAACTGTGAAGGCAGAGCCTAAGGTGGGGGCTGAGGAGGGGTTTTAAGGGCAGCAGCTGTTTGGTGTAAGGCAGGGGTGGGCAAACTTTTTGACTCGAGGGCCACAATGGGTTCTTAAACTGGACCGGAGGGCCGGAACAAAAGCATGGATGGAGTGTTTGTGTGAACTAATACATGTTAACACTGCTGCTGGTGAAGGAGCGGAGGGGAGAGCAAGAGAACCCTCCGCTCTTTCGGCTCCGCGGGCCGGATAGAACAGCCGAATGGGTCGGATCCGACCCGCGGGCCGTAGTTTGCCCACGGCTGGTGTAAGGTGTAAGAAAGTGGTTCAATTTTTTAATGACTGGTTTGGCAATATAGTGCATATGGCTAGCTATCAGCCCAGATATAGGGATTATGTGTTTTTGTCTGCCAAGAGCAACTCCTCCT